TTACCAAGCCCCTGCTAGCAGGGGAAGGCCAACAGTTGTGTACACCCAATCCATGCTCCTTGGAAAGCCTTCAGTTGAGCAGGACAGCTCCCAATGGTGGAAGTCTTTGATCCATTCTGTAGAAAGCAACATCATCTCCTCCCTTTGGGATGGTTCTCCTTCTGAATTTGTCATTTTTATACACGACTTCACAACCTGAGATGAGAAAAATCATTTATCTGTTGGGCACGGAAAAGAACTGCACTGTCAGCACGTTTTCTCTAGATGGCTCATCTGAAGGCATCCGTTTATTTGCCAGGGTGCTTCTTCACTGGAGTGTTAAATATTGTATTAGTAGGGGAACTGAATACTTCTCTGGCATTGTTTAAGCATCTTCTCCTTACCTGAGACAGCACACGCTTCTCCAAGGCTCATTAAGCAACACCAATCTCTCTTTGCCGGTCCCCAAGAAAATGCTGCGATCACTGAGCCCACAGCGCAGCGGCTCAGAAACAAACCCCGCTTGGGAAAAGAGGGGAACTGGAGTTTGAAAATGATATTGCTCATTAATTTTCCTGGCTGGAGACAACTTCTTAACACCAGGTAGGGGTTTTTTAAGCAACATCACTGTTTAGTTTCAAATCTCTCTTAAATGACTTCTGAGTCACCTCGATAAATACTTCCTGTGCTTCCTTTCTGCTTCAGATCCCTTATAACTGCTGATGGATAAATTGCTTGAGTTACCCCAAGTAAATCACGCAGGATAGCCAAATCCGTAATTAAAATGTCTCTCAACCCCTCCGTTAACTCTGACTTAGCAGGACCAGATGGATTGTGGCTGCAGGGAATAACCTGCTTGGGACTGGGCTTCCAAAAATGGATCCTGGAGACAGAGGGAGAAACTGGCTCAGAAAGTGCCCTTTCCACATGGTTCCCTTGGGAATACCACGTCGCTCCTCATCCTCCATCAAAAGGATTTGGGTACTGGGATCGATTGGCTCAAGTGGAGAGTTTTTCAAGGCCTTTTTTGTTCCAAAATGGAGCTTTTGAGCGTGCCAGCGCTTGGCATTGGCTCCAAATTGCACATGGAAAGCGAATTCCCCAAGCAGAGCTGGCATGGAGCTGAGTGGTTTCTCCATCCCAGTTGTTGCCCTGGGAGGAAACAAAAGGGAAATGAAATGAAAACTGGTCATACACAACAAATCCTGGATTTTTAGACTGATATAAATCTTCTTTGGACCTTGCTTCCCAGGAAAAGCTACACGCAGATGCAGAAAGTGATTTTTCAAATTCCCTCTCCCCAAGATGAGCTCCCTCCCCAGGCTCACTGCCCCAGCCTTGGGGCTTTGCTCCTCACCTTCATCAGCTGAGCGGCAGGAAGATCCAGCCCCGGGGCTGCTTCTGGGCTCTGCTTTCCCCAGAGAAGCCAGATATTATGTTTGCAGAGGTCTTCAAATCAGAAAGCAGCTCAGCTTGGTTGCTCTGAGCTTTCCAGTTGTATTCAGGTCTGGCCTGGCAATTTTGAGGCCAAGAATTGGATATTTGGGGGCAGTGTAGGAGCCGGATCCCGCTCATCCTGATGAAAGGCACATGACCCCGTGAAAATGAGCCCATGTAGAAAGCAGTGCTTCTTGCAAATCCTTCATCTCAGGAAACCACCACTGACCCACACCACAGGGCAGGGCACCCAGGGGTGCTGAGCAGGTCGTGGGTCCGACCCACCCCGTAGGTTTTCCAGCCCATCCACGCTGCCTGCAGGGACATGGCCCCATCCGTGAACCGGGGCAGGACAAGGGGCCAACAGGGACAGCCACCATCCCATCCCATCACCCACCATCCAGCCTGTGCAGGCCTTGGGGGGAGGCAGTGGCAAGGCTCAGCGTCTCTATCCTTCCCTTCCTCTGGAATTAGGTCAATAGAAGAGGCAGGAGCCCTTTATTTATTATTGATGGGGAGAACCAAGCCACCATCGATCGGCGCTGGGGAGAGACTCGCCCCGGCGCTTTCTGAAATGACCTGCCAAAGGCGATTTTTTTCTTGTTTTTCATCCATTGAGGGTGTTCGGATGAACTCGCAGCCTCGCCCGCTCCCAGGAGGGATGACAGCAAACACGAGTGAGCTGCTGCCAGCTCTCAGTGCCAGGTCCTTCATGCTCTGCATCCCGGTTAAATCCCACTTTCCCAGCTGCCAGGTTCGCCGTCATCCAGGAGTGGGTGGAGGATGTTGGAGCTTTTGGGGAATAGAAAAATACCCCACAGAGCCACAGCACCATGGCTGACCAGTCTCATCCCTGCCTGTGTCTTATCCAGGGTACCCCCAAACCATGTGTTGAATTACGGGGACCTTGAAGCAGAGGATGGATGGTTTCCTACCCCCAAAAGACCCACCACCTGCATAGCCCCAAAAGTAGGACAAAACCTGAGGACAAGGGGGACAACTAAGCTCCTCCTGGGCTGCTTTATCCCATGCCAAAGCACAGCGCATCCTCCCGGGGACAGCAGTGAACAGCTTAGCCCCGAGCAGGAGCTCACAGTTTGGAATGGCTCATCAGACTCAGCAACCTAAGCAGTATTTTCCCTGGGTTGTCACAGCTTAATACTGATTTTCTTCCTCGCCACCCTCAATATCTCCCTTCCCTGCACGGCCCAGGCTGCATTTTGCCAAACCCCCCTCAAATCTGCCCAGAGAAATGCCCTGGAAAGCTGCCAGCTGGAGGAGACATCCCCAGGGATGCTGGCACCATGTCAGGACCTCTAAACATATCTTGGATGCAGGGACAACTCATCCCGCTGCCTGCCAAGGAGCTAGGGGCGGTTAATGGCTTCATTACCCCAGCCAAGCATCTGGGTGCTAAATAATATTAATGGTATCTCCTGACACCTCGTTAAAAATTGCGCCGGCGCTTAATTCAGGCCATAGATCAAAGCCCCTAAATGAAATCACCATCCATCCCCTCCCGAAGCTGTGTTTGATACCAGCACGCTTCCCCTCATCTTGCTTTTAGAAATATTTTTCTATTGAAATGCAGAGCCTGGCTTCACCCCTGGGGAAAGACAGCTAAAAATAACCCTCCACAGGTGATTTAGGAAGGTCCCTTCCCCACTGACCCCATCACACCCCGCTCGCATCCCATCACTGGGATTAACCAGCCCGAATTTTGGAGCGATCTCAAGGCGGACGATGACATCCCTTTGGGATTTAGTTCTTCATTCTGCTGCTCGAGGTACTAAACTAACGAGGAGGGATGAGGGCAGGCATCTCTCCATCACTGGAGTGGTTTTCTCTCTGTGCTGGGTCATGGATGAGAGCAGTGGAAGCAGGGGACCGACGGACAGACGGGGCTGGGCTGAAAGTGGGACACGAAAGTTTTGCTCCAGGAATTTCAATATTTAAACTAATTATGGTGAAAGCTGCATCCCAGAGATGACACCGAGCCCAGAAAGCATTGTCCAAAACAACCCCTGGATTTATTTGTCAAGGCACAAAACCCCCCTTCAGATTCTGGTTTTTAAATAACGACGAAAACCAGCAGAAGAGCCATCGAGGGGCACAGTGAGGACTTCTCCACCCACCGGAGCAGGACCGGGGACACGCTACCCCGCTCACCCCGGCAGCTTGGGTGCCCCTATGCACCCTGCAGCACCCAGCAGTGGAGGGAGGACCCCCAGGACACACGCAGGAGGCAAAGACGGGAAACACGAAGGCTCGATCCCATACCATGGGGTCAGGTTCGTCCCCACCAGTGCTTTAGGCCCCAAAGCTTTGTCACCACGGGGAGGACAGGGAGGCTTCACCCGGCCGGCAGGTCCCCCCCAAGCCCTGCCTTTCACCCCACCTTGAAAAATCGTTCACGTTAACTCAAGGCAGGGGATAAATGCAAAATCCCATCAGGGCGGTTAAGGCAAAAATAAAAGTCCAGTGGGAACCACAGTGGTGCAAGTGTGAAACAAATAATTGTCCCCATACATTCCTGGCGCGGTGAATTCATCGAGAGCACCAGCCCTGGCCCCCCATGCCTGGGGGTCCCATCAGTCGCTCCCAGGGACCTTGCTGAGCCCATCACCCCTCCGGAGGCCTCTGGGCTTGTCACAGGCACTGAAATTTGCCCTGGAAGGCACCTGGAAGGCTGCTGGCTCAGCTGCAGCCACATGGGAGCGGGCACAAAGGGTGCCAAGGGCGAATGGTCGACCCCGGTTGCTCTCAGCCCCACGCGGGGACGGGCAGACGGACAAGGAGCAGCCTCCTCCCTGCACACACTGTCCCCAGGAAGGATGCGCCGGTCTTTGGGACTCGCCAGGGATAAAGAGATGCAGCCTCTCTCCAGCCCCAGGGCACCCCAAAGACATGGCCAGGGTGGGAAAAGGGTGAGGTGAGGGGGCCTGGGACAAGGGGTGGCAGCAGGTCCGTGCCCTCGGCAGGGGACCCGGAGCTCGTCCCTGCCGGGGACATCTCCGCTGGTCCAGGGCACAGGGCACTTCTTGGGGGTGTCCGAGCTTCTGTCAATCAATTTCTTCCTCATTATCTGGGGAAGGAAAAAATAAAAAATTATAAAAATAATAAAAATCCACAGGTCCAAATTAATGAGTTAATTTGGTCGCTGGCAGCTCCCGGCTCTCCCTGCCCTAGAAAACTGGGATCACCCAGCAATCTTCCCCGCTCCCAGGGCTGACCCCACGCCTCCGGCAAATATGACCAGGCACACGTATGTGTGTTTTTATCTCTCCATCCACCCTCCTGGCTAGAAAACCCCTCCACAGCCAGCAAACCCTGGGAGATTTTTATTATTCAAGCTTCGATTCTGCTGAAAAAGTGGTCAAGGAGCAAGCGGGGGATGTCTCGCACACGGGGTTAAGCAACCAGGCTGCATCGGGGATGAAAAGCCAAGGGGCTGGGAAGCAAAAGTGCAGGCTGCAGCGGCTTGTGAGGGGGAGATAAGGGCAAGGAGGAGGAAAAAAAAAAGAGGAAAAGTGGAGCCGGTTGATGCTTCGCTAGAGGCGTGAAGGGGAAGAGAGACAAGGCTTCTATAAACCTACCAGGGTGAGGGGAAAAAGGGCATTAGAGGAAAAACAGGGCTGTTAATAAAAGAGGAAGGGAGGGTTAAATTAGCAGCGATTCACTGGCAGCAGAGGCCAAGCCTCTGCCTTTAACAAGAAAGAAAACAAATGAAAAGAGTGAGATCTTGGGAGGAGGATGAGTCGGGGAGGAGTGGGGCTGACCAGGCACGCACAGTGCTGGAGCCCGTCACCAGGCTGGGATGGGCGATGGGCTGTTGGCAGCATCGAGCCAGGAGGTTGGGAGAAGAGACTGAGAGGCAGAAATAAGAGCTGGGACTCCAATTTTCACAAATTCCCACCAGAAATTCAGCACCAGGCTGCTGCTGGGGAATTCTGCATGGGGAAGGATGAAACTCCTGCCTCCCTCTCTGCAAGGTGAGGACCAACCCCATCAGTTCCTCTTCCCCTAGCAAACCCACAGCACCACTCAAAAAAAGACAAAACCAACTTCCTCACAATGACCCGAGTTGGTGGCACGAGGCTTTTCTCAGCCCCAAGGTGCCCAAGAAAAGGAAGGAGAAGAAACTCTGCATCGAAGCCATCAGTCACATCACTCCACCACTGCTGGGAGACATGAGCAGTGGCCAGAGCAAGCGCAGCCCAAATTGGAGTGGAAACAGATGCTGGGAAATAATTGAACTGGGAAAATTTGATTGAAAACTGAAAAATAAAAATGAAAAAAAATTTTAAAATGGAACAATGGAACCCCCCCTGCCCCAAAAAAAAAAAAACCACCCCAATGATAAATGATGGAGATGCAACAGATGCTTGACACTTAGACCTGAGCACCATCTCCTGTGTGCTTAGGAAGAAACCTTCATTGTGAGCCCGCTCATGGTCCTACGCCGTTGCCTGGCAAAGGCACTCACCGTCTTTGCTCCCCGCACTCTTCAGCGGCTGCAGGGCTGCGAAAAGCAGAACAGCATGCGGTCAGTCCCCACCATGCTTCCCCGGAGGAAACGGCTAAAAGCCCCATTTTGGGGAACCCACCCCCAAAACTGCACCCACCAATTTCCATTGCAGACCAACTCCCAGTCCCTAAATCTCCCCGGCAGCGAAGGAGCTGGCATCCCAAGCGGGCTTGCTCCTGCACCAGCAGATAAAAGCAATCACCACGAACATAATTAACCTGTTTGATGATGGCAGAGCACCGGGAGTGCTTTTTTATTAAAAGATAGTGGGGCTTATCAAGGAGCTGCCAGCCTGAGGGGTGCATCGAAGAGGGGGCAAGCATGGGGGGGGGGGCTGAGCACCAGTGGAGGGTGCTTGCATAGGGGACAGTGGCACCAGCACACGCGGTAATGTACTCACATACATAATACACGAACATCATGCACCCACCTGTCTTGGGTGCTGCCCCCTCCTCATCCTGCTCCTCTGTCCCTGCAAAAGAGCAAGCGGGAGTGTGTGAAGCATCTGCCGGGCTTCACCCCACTGCCCACCCTGAACGCCACGTTCCCGGGCAGCTGGCTTTGGTGGCTGTCCCTCGGATTGCCGCTGTCCCCGACCGCTCGAAGCCACCCACGATCACCACCTATCTCGGGCTCCGCTCGTGACCAGGCGCTGCTGAGCTGCTGGTGATGCTCAAGGAGGAGGTGCCTGGTACCCACCTGCACCCAGCACCCCCTCCAGAACCCCACGGGGGGTATTTCCCCCAGCTGGGGTACCACAGCCCCTACAAGCAAAGCAGAAAAAGCCACAGCTCCAGGCGACGCAGCGCGGCCGTTCGCCTCCCTATTTATAGCGCAGCCACCATCTGGAGCGGCGCTCAGCGAGGGGCTTAGCAGGGAGACCACAAATCCGCCAACGCCTCCAGGCGACCCCGTCGGCACCAAGGGATAAGCATCCCCTTCTCCCACCCCGCAGCACCCACCGGGCTGCCAGGCTGTCACCCTCAGGCTTCACATCCCATGTACAGGACCTGCTGCAATGCTCTTCCTGGGCAGAAAGACCAGCAAAAAATCGCTGCTCCTGCCTCCCGTGCCTGCCAGGCTCATGGGCAGGGTCCCCGCCCTGTTGCTGGCAGGCCAAGAGCTGCAGCGAACGGTTATCGCTAAGGGCATGCAGCCATCAGCACGAAACATCGCGGGCTGGGAGCTTGTCCTGATGCTGAAGGGCTGAGGTCAGCTGGCCCGGGGCCGCGGCTGAGCATCACCGTGCTGCAAATCCCCTGACCAAGGAGACAATACTCTGTTACAGAGGGAAAAAATAAAAAAATATAGATTTTTTTTTTTTAATATTTACATATTTCCTGCAGAAGATTCCCTGGGATCTGCCAGTGGAAAACCCTCTCGGTCCCCACCACTGGGGACACGCGACAGCCAGGCATCCCAGCAGCATCGCCCTCCCCGGCAGAGAGAGGAGGAGCGAAGCGGGAGCCCCCGGGGAGGAAGGCTGCGGGTCCCGGCCCCGGAGCATGATGCTGGCAGGGAAAGGTTTTGGCAGAGCAAGTGCCTCGGGAGACAGCGAGAGAAAACAATCGGGGAACGCCAGCAAAGCTGCTTCTGCAACCATTTTTGGAGCACGGCAGCTTTTTTAAAGCAACAAAGCCTCCCTTTTTGTGCAAACATCTCTCCATAATAAAAAAAAAAAACCAAAACCAAGACAAAACCAGGAGAAGGATGCCGAAAACAAGAGCGTGGAACATCTCTCTTGTGCTGTTTCCGTGTGGCAAAGCACTTGGCATTTCCACGGTGGCAAATGCTAGAGGCACCTTCACAGAATCACAGAATGTTTGGGGTTGGAAGGGACCTCTGGGGGTCATCTAGTCCAACCCCCCTGCTGAAGCAGGGTCACCCAGAGCAGGCTGCACAGGACCGCGTCCAGGCGGGGTTTGAGTATCTCCAGAGGACACTCCGCAACCTCCCTGGGCAGCCTGTGCCAGGGCTCCGTCACCCTCAGGGTGAAGTTCTTCCTCATGTTCAGCTGGAACTTCCTCTGCTTCAGTTTGTGCCCGTTGCCCCTTGTCCTGTCGCTGGGCACCACTGAAAAGCATTTGGCCCCAGCCAAACCTCAGAGGAGATGCTCCATGCACGCCTGGTTGTGGGTACCAGACACGCAGAGGATGCTCAGAGCAGGGAGGTGAAAGGAAGAGACATGATGGGTGGGAGGAAAACCAGGTGTATGTTTGAAAGAGCAGCCTGAAGTGATGCACACAGCCGGCATGGGCTCTCCAGCATGGATCTGCTGGTGCTCGCCAACCCTGGCAGCTCCGAGCATCCCTTCATCCTTTAAAAGATGCCACCACCAAGGCACCACCAATAAGGTAAATCCGTTCTGGTTAGAATTTGCTCCAGCTCCTCCCATCCACCACCTCCTGCAAATCCCATCCTTTTTGGGAGGCAATAGCCACCACATTACCTGCGTTTTCCTCCTCTTCCTCACAGCTCTCGCGGACTTTCTTCTGGCACACATACACCAGGACGGCGAGTAGCCCCACGACGCAGACGGCGAGTCCCACAGTGACCCAGAGAGCCACGGCAGGGAAGGCGAGGTGTTGGCCTTGTGGGTGGGGGAAGAGAAATACCACTGCGGTGAGCATCGCTGCCTGACCCAGGGGATGCGTGCCCAGCATCCAGGACCCCGTGGTGGCAGGGTCACATCCCCATGGACCAAGTTGGTGGCACAAGGGGTGGCTTTCAACGTAAAACCTCTAATTATGGCCTCCCCCAGCAGGTCTGGATCCAGCCAGGGAAGCAGAACGTTGAGTCACTCCTTAAAATACTTTGTTAACTTTTAAATAATTGCACTAATAAATTCAAATGGCAGGCTGACCCTTCACTTGCTAAGAAGCTGAAGAGAAGCATTAGATGATGCTGCACGCACTCCCTTTCCCTGCTCATCTCACACCATGGGGCTGGGAAGGATGGGGACATCTTCCCCAGGGTCTGTGATGGCCTGGCAGTGACCACCAGGACTTGGGAGATATCTCCTGGAGCGCTGGAAAACTGATTTTTCCCTGTAATATTGCTCCTTCTTCAAATAAGGTCTTATCCCAAACCCTGATCCTCCACTGAGACCACCCCACGGCTGACCATTTGCGCGCGTGCTTGGGAGCCCAAGCAAAAGCCACTTCTCTGTCCCCAGCCAGCAGTGAGTCTTCCTGCAAGAGTTCAGTGCATCCAGCCAAGAAGCTGATGCTCCACCAGGGACCTATCTTCCCAACCCAGCAAGTGCCATACCAAGGGTAATTAAATGCTAATTAATGCTGCTGGGGAGTGCACAAGGTTATAAAGAGCTCCAGGAGGGCAGTGGGAGGAGCTCAGAGCGAAGCGGTGAGATCGAACATGCTTGATGAACTTCTCCAGCTTGTGTTTCTGAAGTAGGATTGTCACAGCTGGGATGGGGAACTCCAGATCGAGAGCATCCCATGGCCATGCGCTAAGTAGAAGGCAACTACCATGCCCTGTGCTGGCTTTCTGGGGTGGTTTAGACTTGGGCAGGGCAACTAGCAAAGCTAGAGACTAAGAACTAAGGACGCTAGTTCTAGCTGGGACGCTGGCGCGGGGTGACAGGGAGGACAGCACAGCCTCAAGTCACCGTTACAGGTCTATGGGCAGAGAGGGAGAACAGGGATATGGAGTAGCAACCCCCAAGGTGACTCTGGGCCACAGTACGATCCTGATGCCACCACGGTCACCTTCTTGAGACAGCCCATCCCTTCCTTCCCCCGATTTTGGCCCTTGCTGGCTCACCTGTGATGGTGACAGAGGCTTGGGTCTCCTGCTGCAGCACCGGGTTTCGCACCAGGCAGGAGTATGTGCTGCTGGGCTCCACCAGCACCCGGAGGACGCTGTGCACGTCAAAGAGACCTTCCTCATTGGCCACCTGTGACGTGGTGATGTTTTCTGTGATGTTGCTGCCCCGGCTGTCCTGCCAGAGGACACTGGCCTCAGGATAGCCACGGGAAGCGTGGCAAGTCACGGCTGCCAGATCTCCCGGCTTCAAGTCCTTGTTGGGCTCCAGGTTCATACTGGGCTTGGAGTAGGGAGCTGCAAGCGAAAGGACAGCCAGCATGAGGCGATGAAGAAGACCAAACAATAGGATCTGGAGCAAGCCAATGGGGATGGGCAAGCTTGCCCCAGGGCAGCCTCTTCCAGCTGATAAGACCAACCAGCTGAAGCCTCCCCAGCTTTGCTTCATTTATGGCCTTATTTTCAGGTGGCCTCTCAACGGAGAGCCTCTCCATCACAGCAGGGAAGGGACCGCAGCCCCAACCAGACATATTTTGGGGAGATGCAACTGGTCGGTCTCTCATAGACAACTCAGCTCGTGTGGAGACCATGGCAAGGGTGGAGAGAGAAAGAGGCTCCACAGAGGAGCAAAGCATGATGGAGAACCCTTCTTTTTTGGGGAGACATGCAGGGACACCCCAACTCTTCATCTCTCACCTGCCACCTGCAACATCACAGCCGCGCTGCTGTAGTCCCGGACCCGGACAAAGCAGGTGAAGCTGCCCTCATCTGAGATCTCCACACGTCGAAGGAGCAGCGAGACGTTGCCCCGGGCCAGTTGGTCATAGAAGAGGGCTGTACGGTTGGCGTAGCCCCTGCCCTGGTCTGCCAGCTGGTCCTGGCCACGGGAGAAGCTGTGGACCAAGCGCTTGGTGTCCGTCAGCTGCCAGATGAGGCTCAGGTCATCAAGGCTGAAGTTGGCCTCGGGGCAGAAGGAGCAGCGCAGGGTGGCATCTCGGCCAAAAAGAGCCACCACGGGCTCATCCGGGACCTGGATCTCCATGGCACCTGTGAGAGGGGGGCGAGGACAAAAGCACGTGGTGGTGAGACCCTGCAGAAGCACCTTATCTGGGTAATATCTAAGCAAATTGAGGGATGCCCATGGGAGGGACCCATGGGCAGGTGGCATCTCAGGACCGTCCCCATCACCGACCCCCAGCCAACCCTGCCAGCAAGGAGACAGCCCCCACATCCAGCACCAAACCTGGGGCACCGCTGCCTTCAGCCGTCAGCTGCGGCCGCGGGCACCCAAACCTGCACCCCTCCAGGACACGCAGCCCGGTTTCTCTGCACAGGGAGAGGTGGGTGGGTGACGGTGGTAGGGACACAGTCCCGTGTCCCCAGGATGAGCCAGGTCTGGGCAGCGCCGTGGCGGGGCTGGCAGGCACTAGATGGCACCAGTGCTGCAGCGCGATGCCAACCGGCGTGCTATGGCAAGATGCCACGGCACGATGCCAACCGCATCACCGTGCCACGGCGCGATGCCAACCCTGCCACTGCATCAGGGAGAGATGCCAACCACGCCAGGGCTGCTGGACCCTCCGCGCTCAGAGCTGGCCCTGGAGTGCCTGCTGGCAATGAGCAGCGACGTCCCCCAAAGCAGGCCTAGGGGCACTTCATTCACCAGTTCCCCCCAGCGCCAAAATGGGGTGGAAAGGGGAAAAATCTCGCTTCGGACCAAGGATTTGCTTTATATTCCAATCTCAACACCGTCGCAGAACACAGCAGAGCTGTTACCACAGCGAATCCCTCCCTGGGGATGAGGGCAGCAATGAGACGTTAAATTCTAAGCAAGAGCCTGAGCGGGGAGGATGAGGAGCTGTGGGAAGGAGCTGGGCTGGAGGAGACCTGCCAGGGGCCGCAGACGGGCAGACGGGCAGGAGAAGAGCGCTCGGGCAGCCTGCCTGGCTCTTGGCAGACTCGAGATCGTCACGTCTCCCTCCGGCTAATAATAAACGCCAGCGGGTTTTAGGAACATCACCCAGGCTGAATCGCTGCTGAGAATCCCAAAAGGATTCAGTCCCAACGTCTCTCCCAGGCTGAGGTGCTGCAACCTGGGAATCCAGGAGCTGCAGCGCATGGGGACAGACCCAGGTAAGTAAGAAACCTTCAGGATCTGGTCCTTCCGTGGCTTCGCCGCTCAACTGTAGCACAAAGGAGGTGGTGGCCCCTGCTACAAGGGTGGCTGATGTGCACCAGAAGCCATCACACCCACAGGGTGATGCTCTGGGCAAGCTGGAAGATCCCATCACACCCACAGGGTAATGCTCTGGGCAAGCTGGAAGATCACGAGATCAGGAGAAAACACCCTGTGGGCGCTGCCTCCAGGAAAAACAGGTCAAAGGCAGCTTTCTTGGGATGAACGTGGCCTTTGGGACATCTCCTTTGGGGTGGGGACACGCAGACCATGCCACCCCCAACCCCCCCCGCCCCGCTCAGCTGCCAGGCTGAGCACCAGTGCTCCCAGGGCGAGCAGCGGGCAGAGCATCCTCGGCGCAAGCAAAGGTCGGGTAAGAAAGGAGAAGCGAGCACAGCCCCGGGCGTCCTTCCCAAAGGAATCTGCTCTCTCGCAACCAGTGCCCTGAGCTGTGGAAAAACAAGGAAACACCGAGATGGCGCTGGGAATCAGGGGCAGAGAGCAAGAGAGGGGAGGAGACCAGCATCAGGCAGGGGATCCCATGCCAGCCGTCCCCTCCGGCTGCCACGCAGCAACCGGAGCACCGACCCCGTCCTAAAACGCAGGAGGGGGTTTGCCTCCAGCCTGGCACCAGCCCAGGGACCGGTGCATCCCCCACATCGGGGAGCCAACGGACCCGGAGGCAGCTCTCGTGCTGGAGGCGCTGGCCGGTGCCCCGGGGAAGCCACGTGAGCTGTCCCCCTCCTCCCTGCTTCTCCTCCCCTTTTGTCTCTCTCTTTCCCAGCCTTTCCCCGCAGCTTTTGGCTGCTACATCCCTATCCCCCAAGAGGAGGCAACTCTCTCCCGGTGTCCAAAATGGCTAAAAACCAAACATGAGAGGTTTAGAAATTGCTGGCTCCACCAGCGGCTCAAGGGCTGCGAGGTTCACCCCTGCTCACGGCAGGAAAGTCTCCAGCACGAGGTTGCCCCAAAAAACAGGGAATAAAACCAAAGCATCCCAGAGCTGGATGTGGGAAGAGGCAAGGGCAAGCTGCCCGGCACCGCTGGCTACCATGGCTCGCTTCCCGAGCATCCCTCCCCAGCTGTGCCAAGAGCTCGCCGGGCCCCTCGTGACCCGCGTTCCTCCCTCGCAGCATAAACGAACCCAGACATTGCAGCCGGTGTTACCACTGCCGCGTCCCATCCCTGTCCCAGCACATCCCAGAACCCTGCTGCTCTGCCCGGAGCCTTCAGCGCCGATGGTTTTTGGCACAATAGCCACATTGGCAATAAATCGGTGTTGCAGCACCAGTTTCCCGGGGTGCAGCAAGAACAACTTCAGCCGTCGGTGCCTTCCTCCTCAAACCCCCTTTTATCAGTGAAATGGCAGCTCCGAAGCTCTGCTCAGCTCCCATGGGGGAAACTGAGGCACGGCTCTGCCCCAGGACCTCTGGGACAGCATCTCCCATCCTTCCCTCCCAAGCATGAGCCTCCTTTGGGAAAAACAAATTATCCAGCTTTTTTTCTTAAACCACATCCCTGACTCTTGCCTTTTCCCAAGCAGATGAGACCCGACCCAGCCCCGTGCCAAACCCCAGGCAGCCGGGAAGCGAGGGAGCCGTGGTGGCAGAGGGTGACGGGGCATCGCTCAGCTGCCCGGGCAAGCGAAACCATGACTCACCTCCCTCACGCTCACGCTTGGAGCTCTTTCCTATTCCTGGTGATGCTAAAATAAATTATATTCTATAGGTTTCATGACCTAATAGTCCTGATGGACCGTCTCACAGGAAGGGGACGACCGTGTCCCCAACCCTCCTTCTGCAGTCGGGAGCATTTCGGTAGGTGTCTCGCCTTTCTGTGACTCAGTTTCCTCACCCCTGCGGTGTGAGCCCCAGCCGAAGGATGGGCTCTGCCCCAGACCTGAGCTTTCATCGCAAGTCGGGGTGCAACAGAGTCAGAATCACCGAATGTTCGGGGTTGGAGGGGACCTCTGGGGGTCACCCAGTCCAACCCCTGCCGAAGCAGGGTGACCCAGAGCAGGCTGCACAGGACCTTGTCCAGGCGGGTCTGGAATATCTCCAGAGAAGGAACAAACCCCAGGAACACGTCCCTTGGAAGAGGGATGCCCTCGTGCAGGCAAGCCAGGATGGCTGAACCCTCCACAAACCCAAGGAATAATTAAACGCTCTGTTGCAGCAGGACCCCATTCCCCACTTCATATTTACCATCAAGTAGCCAAAACGCTGCTTTTTTAGAACGCCCAGCTTCTCAGCTGCTCAGTTATCACCCTGAGATGGGTGGTGGCGTAAAGAAAACATCTGCGGGTCCAGAGAGAAGTCCTCACCCCCCGGTCGGGGTCTTTGCCCACTTTGGCCGTCTCCTGCCTGGGGTTCCTGGCAGCCAAGAGCCCCGCTCTGCTCTGGGCGATATTTTTAGGCCCCCGACGCGTCGCAGAAGTTCCCCGCTGGCGCAGCGGGACCCTGCGGGGATGGGGGCCACGGCAAAGGGGGGATGCGAAGACGGGGTGCGACATCTGGCAGCAAAAAGGCAGGGACAGGCTGACCTTTCGGCTCATCCCGAGAGAAAGCGGAACCGCCGCTTCCTCCCGGCGCTCGGGCTCCCTCGTCCCCCGCG